TTGATTTGTGCTTGTGAATGGTCGCTAGATGTTCGAGTTATTGTAGGCCGTGTTGGGAATGTTGGATTCCTTCGGTAGTGATTTTCCTTCTAATATTCTCTGTAAGGCTGGATTAGTAGCTACGTATTGTTTAAATTTATTTTTATCCTGGAATATTTTGTTTTCTCCGTTGATAGTGAACAATAGCTTGGCTGGGTATAGTAGTCTGGGTTTGCATCCATGGTCTCTTAGTTTCTGCAGTACCTCTATCCAGGATCTTCTGACTTTCATGGTTTCCATAGAGAAATCCGGTTTAAGCCTGATAGGTTTACCTTTATAAGTTACTTGACCTTTTTCCTTTGCAGCTCTTAAAATTTTTTCTTTAATATTTATGTTTTGTGTTTTGATTATTATATGGCGAGGGGATGTTTTTTTCTGATCCAGTCTATTCGGTGTTCTGTATGCTTCTTGAACCTTCATAGGAATATTGATCTTTAGGTTGGGAAAGTTTTCTTCTATAATTTTGTTGAATATATTTTCTGGGCCTTTGATCTGCAGTTCTTCTCCTTCTTCAATCCCTATTATTCTTAGATTTGGTTTTTTTTATTGTGTCCCAGATTTCCTGAATGTTTTGTGAAGAGAATTTGTTGGATTTGCTGTTTTCTTTGACCAGAGCATTTATTTTCTCTATGGTATCTTCAGATTCTGAGATTCGTTCTTCTATCTCTTGTATTCTATTGGTTATGCTTGATTCTGTAGTCTCCGTTCATTTACCTAGGTTTTCCATATCCAGCCGGTTCTCCGTTTGTGTTTTCTTCATTGCCTCCATTTCAGTTTTCAATTCTTGCACTGTTTCCTTTACTTGTTTGATTGTTTTTTCTTGGTTTCTCAGGGTCTCATTCACGGATTTACTTATTTCTTCAAACTTTTTGTTATATTTCTCATCTATTTCTATACTCATTTCTTCAAACTTTTTGTTATATTTCTCATCCAATTCTTTAAGGGAGTTATTCATATCCTGTTTAAGGGACTCTATTGCTTTCATAATGGTACTTTTTTCCACTTCTTCTGGGTTAAGGTGTTCAAGCCCTTCTATTGTAGGGTCCTTGAGATCTGGTGTTTTCATGTTGTTTTTCAGATTGTTGGATGAGGTCTTGCCTTGGCGTCTGCCCATCTCTTACTTCAAATGTTCTCTATTGGAACTTCTGTTACCGGGTCAGGTTCCCTTCTTGGGCAGGGACTTCACTGACAGAATGCCCACCTTTCCTCAGGCAGGCTATTGAAGCACAGGCACTCCCTCTTTCCTGGATGCGCTTACAATGCAGGCTCAGCTTGCAAGGCAGCTGAGCTGGGGAAAATTTTATGGCCCCAGGGGGAAGGGAGAA